TTTTTTTTCTTCTTCTCCGCTTGTGCAGTCTGATAAACATAGTTTATTTTCATGTGTAATAAAATCAGAATGTTCTTATTCGCCCGTTTGTGTTTTGTTGCTCTTGCTTTTAATTGGTTGTGACCATTAAATACTTCTTAATATAAATAGAAATAAGAAATATAAGGCCTGTAAGAGTACCACCACATGCTGTTTTGCTCTTTTCTGGGTAATCTACAATCCATTTCCCCTGTACTCACTCAAAACCCCAAAACATTGGAACTTCAAGCTGACAACTGTTTATATAGATTACATTTATCAAATTTTCTTCAGCAGCATCAGATTTCTCCCTGAGAAACTACTTAATTAGTTAACAGTGTAACATTTGTGGTCCAATCACATGTGGTTACACTGAGAGGAAGTGCACTTGTATATATTAAAAAGTTAGTGTAACAGATGGAGATTTGAACCCTGACCTGAGAAAGCAGTATACACTTTATTCTGGTACTAGTTTATTCCAAAATGTGTCAGCTATTAGTGGATGGCTGAGGATCCAACTCCTTATTTCTAATACAATTTATTAATGTATGTGGTTATATTATGAAAATGATTTCACATACTTATTGAGTAACAAAAATACATTGTATGCTGAAGCAGACAAAGGATTAGGTCATTTAAGAGTTAAGAGTTTTTGGTTAGCATCCTTTAAAGGAGAAAAGACCATTGTCCCTATGTCTTCTGTGTGAAAGGTGGGTGCTTCTGACCAACAAATGATATAGAAGAGGATCCATCAGACCACTGCATTCTCGTACAATGTTTTTGTTCTTGTTTTGTCTGTTGAAAAAAGAGCTATGCATGATGTATATTTGAAGAACTCCCAGTGAGTTAGATCTATGGGAGGATTTAGATTGAGAAACATGTATCGTGCTGGCTACAGTTAGGTTTAGTCTGAGATAAGCCATCCTGCCAGCATGAAGAGATTTTTAAGTGGTCAGAACTCTATCCTAGACTTGTAATGCCTCTGAAATGAAACCTCTACTTTAAATTTAGGAGCTTATATACTTTCGCTACTTGAGGAATTAGGCAGAAGGTTCAAGAGTCCATCATTACTGGATACCTCATTACCTCAGTCCAGATCCTACCTAAAATACCTGTCTCTTTTCATGTATATAGAACTATGTCTTGTACTTGATAGCAGCATTCATTCATTTATGAACTTTTGTATTATCAATATGCTCTTTGACACCGGCAAATATTTTGTTGCCGTCCAGCTGATTATCCCCTCTTCACTTCCATCTGTTAACACTTGGCCTGTACTCAAGCAGGATAACACTGCTAGCATTTTCAAGATCATTCAGATGGCTGATTTTGGTATTAATGCAGAATGCTATCCCTCAAGCGGTACACCACAGTATATTTCCAAAAATGACCCACTCTGATATTTAAAACCTGAAGTGACAGAGAGGTCGCTTCTCCATGTGTCAAATTCATTTTCTTGGTAGATATTTTACAGCACTTTTTTTCCTCCTGAAAGCCAAACAGCCTTGTTTTTCAGCTATTCATAGTTATGAACAGTATTTGAAAATTCAACAATATAATGCAATTTGGTGCCATATGCTCAGTGCTTCTATAAATAATAATAATAAAAAAAAAAATAGCAATTTAATTTACTTTCACAATTACTGACCACTCCTCAAACAACATTATGCAATCAACTATGACAGAATGGCACTTCAGGCTCATCTCATGAAAAAAGCATTGGTTACAATCCATGGTCACTATTTCTAATTACTGTATTAGGTTGATGTGGCAAGGTTTTGGTAGCATGGGCTGCCAGGGTGGCTTCTGTGAGCAGAGCCCAGCAGCTGCCCATGTCAGATCAGAGCCAACTTCAGCTGGCTCCTAAAGGAACCCACCACTGGCCAGAGCTGAGCCAGTGAGTGATGCTGGTTGGGCCTCTGGGAGAGCAGATTTAAGGAAGGGAAGAATGCTGTGCAACAGCATCTGGGAGAGAGGAATAAAAAAAAAAAAAAAAAAAAAAAAAAAAAAAAAAAAAAAGGAAAAAGGGAGAGAAACAGCCCTACAGACATCAAGGTCAGTGCAGAAGGAGGGCAGGAGTTGCTCCAGGTACCAGAGCAGCAGTTCCCCTGCGGCCTGTGGAGCAGGCTGTCCCCCTGCAGCCCATGGGTCCCACGTGGAGCAAATCTCCATGGTGCAGCCTGTGGAGAGGAGCCCACGCAGGAGCAGACAGTCTGGGGGGAGCTGCCACACGTGGGGGGCCCATGCTGGAGCAGTTTGCTCCGGATGGATGGACTCTGTGGTATGGAACCACGTTGGAGCAGTTCTTGAAGAGCTGCTGCCTGTGGGAAGCCCATGTAGGATCAGTTTATGAACAATGGCATCCCATGGGAGGGACTGCACATTGGAGCAGGGACAGTGAGTGACCATGAAAGAGCAGTGGAGATGAAGTATTAGGGACTGACCATGCCCCCCATTCTCCATTCCCTGAACTGTTCAAGAGGAAGGAAATGGAAGAGGGTGGTTGGCGTGAAGGTGTTTTTAGTTTGCTTTTAGTTTTTCACTGTTCTAGTCTGTTAGCAATAGGCAATAAATTATATTAATCTCCCTATGCTGAGTCTGTCTTACTTGTCATGATAACTGTTAAGTGATCTTCCTGTCCTTATCTCAGCCTTTGAGCCCTTTCCTGATACGTCTCCCCTTTTCCTTTGATGAGGGGGAATGAGAGAAAGGCTGTGATGGAGCTCAGATGCATAGCAGGATAAAATCCCCATAATTACTTAAATTAACTCCTCTGAAGTTTGGTTCACTTAATTGTTTCTCATGGATGCCAGTTGGATCCGTGAGATTGTTTGCTTCTTTTCAGTTGTAGTATTGTACCTATGGGTAGTATTGTAACTATGGGTCTCTGCTGACTATTGGAAATTGCTAATTGAAAGAAAATAATCGAATGTTAGTTGCAGCACTATTCTTATTTTTCCAGAGTATTTCCCTATCCTTGACTATTTTAGCCTCCAAGCCCCTGCTCAACAAAGCTATGACTTTCTTCTTTTTCAGTTAAACTTTCCCACAAAACATCTAGTACCTACCGGAGATTCTTCATTTAGTGCTGCTCCCAAGACCTCAATGACATACTCCAAAATGTATGAATGACACTGCTTGCCACCAGCTTCAGTAGAAGCTGAACTCCAAAAATGAAAATAATAGTCATAAAATATATACATATATATATATTCTCTTTATATAACAAGCCAGTGACTACTGGAGTCTTCTGCAAATTAATCAGGAAAGTGTGCTTTACAGCTGCCCCTGGAGAAGTAAGAGGTCTTTATTTATACTTCTCACTTAAACATAATTATGTGAAAATGGCAGAAAGTAAGGAGCTAAAACTAGGTGAAATTATACATGGTTAAAGATACTCCTGCTTTGCCATTTGCTTAGCAGAAAATTAGTCATAGTTATTCTGACATTACAACATCTCTGATGTTGTGAAAGAGCTTCTACAGAAAAAGCAAAATCTTCTCACAGAGTGAGAAGGCATCTTGGAAGCGCTTTACTCTTGCTTTCAACCTTACAAAGGTCCTCCACATGTCCTGTTCTTTGGGGTTACCTAAAAACTTATGGAAGAAGTCATACTCTGAGATTACAGTATGTTCCAGAATTGGTCAGCCTTGGGAAAGTAATAATAATTATAAATAATAATAAAAATACCCACACCTACATAAAAGGTACAATGTACAGCATAATGGGAATAAAAGGAAAAAGGGTTGGGAGGTTTCCATTTGTAGTGTGCCCCACTGTTTCTACTAATTTAAATAGGAAAGCAGCTTGTATTGTTGTTTGACTTTTCCCCTTCCTCTCCTCCTGTAATAACTTCCTCAGTAGCATGAAATGGCAAAATCTTTATAGTTTCAAGGTCAGGGAAATATATGCTGATCTTCGGCGATTATGCAAATTTCTTCTGATGGGAGGACAAGATCCAGGCAATAATCAGTAGTTTTTCCTCCTATGCTAAGTGTGTAGGTCACATATAAAAAAAATAATAACAACAATTAAAAAAAATAATAAAGGGTGGTACCAGATGTAGTTTATCACTGATTGTGCATAATTAATAATCTAATACTGCTCAGGTGCTCTCCATGGCACAAAGAAACAGAATCAGTATCCATTAACTATAGCCATTATACATTCTTTTCAATATAGTTATAAATTGGGTAGATTAAGAAATATTTAAACATGCAACTGTATTTTCTAAGATATTCGGGGGAAAAAAAAAAAAAAAGTTAAGATGAATATAGGTTAAGCCTGGGAAGAAGTAGTGACTCATGCTCTTGGGTTGATTAAAGCCCACACGAAGTAGGGTTTATAAACACGGTAGCCGGTTAACATTTCAAAAAACTCACACTCTTTCCCTAGAAAGTACTTACTACGGAAGAACAGCTTGGTTACACAACCAGCTTCGCAAAGCTCGGAAAGCCGTCACCAGCAATGCAAACTGCGATTCAAAACCGAGAATGGCGTTGTGCCTCTTGAATGTAGCGGGGGGACCACGGGGCACCCAGCGGGCGAGCCAGCAGCGCCTGGCGGCCCTTCACCGCATCGCTGACCGTGAACGAATCCAGGGGTAACGTTTTGTACGTCTCATTACGGTTTTATATTTTACTTCAGAAGCCTACAGCTGAAGCTGAAGGAGAGCCATTTTAACGCCTCGCATCAACTAAAGTGCCCGCTCAGGGAGGCGGTTACAGAAAGCGGGACCCCTCCAGCGAGGGGATGCTCGCGGTCTGGGAGCTGCGGGCACTTTCACCTCTTCAATCCTCCCTCGTAAACTTGCGAGCCCCAGACCAGACGGCTGCTGCTGCCCTGCCCGACCCCCGCCCAACCTCCTCTCCCACCTGCCTGCTGCTGCCCGCACACCACCACCACCTCCCCGGCCGCCCCCGGACCCTCACCGCGGCATCGGTGCGGCCGCCACCGCTGGAGCCGCCCAGCCCCGCCTCTCCCCCGCCCGCCCCCCCCTCCCCAATCCGCCGCCGCTCCCGGGCTCGGCCACCCCCCCGGCTCCGGCTCCGGCCCTGCCCCCGGGCGCGCCCGCCGCGCTCAGCTGGCAGCCGGCTGCCGAGGCGCAGGGGCGGCGGTGCCATCAGCTGCGGGAGCACGGCTCGGCTTGGCAAAGCGGCTCACGCAGTCGCAGGGAAGAGGAGCAGCTGGGAGCGCGGCCGCCGCGGAGGACCGGCACGTCCCTGTTCGCGTTCCTGTTCCGCGGGGAGGGCTCCGCCGATCCACCGCCCCCTCCTCCGGGAGCCGCCGGGGGAGGGCTCGGACGCGAAGTTGCAGCCAGCCCGGGGGAAAAGTAGCGGCAAGGCGGAAGGGGCCGGAGCCCAGCCGAGCCCAACCCAACCCAGCCGAGCCGAGAGGGGCCGGCGCAGCGCGCCGCCGCCAGCCGCCCCCCGGACGGGGCTGACCCCGCGCCCCCGGCCGCACTCACCGGGACCCCCGCCTCGCCCCGGAACCAGCACCGAGGGAGAGGGGACGCTGCCGGACACCGCTGCGGGTAAAACGGGGGTGAAGCCGCGGGGAACACGGCATGAAGAAACCGGGGAGGCGGGCGAGGGGCGGCGGGGGGCCGCGGCGTGCGGGGGTGAGCCAGCGGAAACTTGCTCAAGTTGTGCGGCCCCGGGCGGCGGGGAGGGGGCAGGCGGGGGCCGAGCCGGCGGCGGGCGCCCTCTGGTGGTCGCGGGGGAAGCCTCGCCGTGCCCCCCGCCACCGCTGCTGGAGGGGCCGGGGGCGTCCCGCAGAGCGGTGGCGCGGCGGAGGGAGGGGTGCTACTGGCCCTCGCCGCCGCCCCTCTTCTTTCCCGTTGGGGGCAGAGCCGCACGGGTGGCGTGCTCGGTGCCCTGCTGATAGGAGGGAGCTCCATCCGGCTGCGGGGGCGCGTTGGGGATGTGTGCCCGGGGGTAGCTCGCCGTGATGCCAGAAAAATTTGCTTCGAGAGCCGGGAGTCGCTCGGGTCAAGATGAAATAAAGAGAATCTGTGTAGCCAATCCGACTTTCTGTTTTGACGGAGTTTTGTGGAACTTTGAAAATGTTCCTTTTTTTGTTTAATTTCTTTGAGGGGGAAGAAAAAAAAAGTGTATTAACCCTCATCTTTCCTAAAAGCATTGACCATTCCTCATGACTAAATACTTTGAATATGTTCTGGCACCTGTACAGCTTCAGAGAACTTCTGTTTGTGTTTTCACAGAAAGAACCAACATGCAAAGTGGAAGGAAAACCGAAACTGCTCTTTTAGCAAAAAAATACTGGCTTTCAGCCCCTTTCATATGTTTCCATTTCACTTCATAATGGGAGGAGCACGATTCTCTGAATCATTGAGGCAAAATTTGGGCATCATTGGCTGAAGATAAGATGAAAGAAGACTTGAAAATGTGTCGATATTCTATGACTATTAATTCAGACAAACCTTTCACAAAGGGGAATAGTGGTTAAAATTACCGCAGTCTCATCTAAAGGAGCTAATGAAGGATTTCTCTTCGTTTTTTCTTTCTTCCCTTTCTCCCATGAGTCCAAAAAGAGCAAGATGGAAAGAGTGTATACAAATCAAGATAGGAGGAAGGCTGAAGAAAGTAGCTTCAGTTTTTAAGTGTGTTTTCCAAGTGCTGTAAATTCCCTAAATAATCAAATTCAACCCATTGTTTTGAATAAATTATATCTTTTTGTGATCAGTGAAGGTTTTTTTTTTTTTTTTTTTTTTTGGTCAGCTATAGGAGTGGAATTTGACCTGATTGAAAGTATTAACACAGAAAATGTATGGCTCTGATTCCTGTTTTCAAATCAAAGTTTACAAGTTATCAAAGAATAGTGTTTTGGTTTCTTTCAGTTTCTGACTGTGTATTGTCAACCTGCATTTTGTATGTTTATCTTGGAGATTTTACTTTCTCCCTATTTTAATGCTTATACTGACTGTAGTGTTGTATTTGAGAAAAATGTGAACGAGCAAGGCACCTGAGATTTAAGTTCTCAACAGCCTTGTTATTTCAGTGTTGTAGCTCAAATTACGAGTAATCTGAGTATCTGTTAGAACGTGCAGTAAACACTAAGTCTTTTCTTTGAAGAAAAAAATGCCTTAAGATGCTCATGCTTGTGCTAACTGGATCAAAGCTTGATATCTGAACATCGTGTTTTGTTAGGAAGTGCATGCCTGGGGAAGAGGAGCTGCCTAATGGATCATGGCTCTGATGCTTACAGGGCATACCTTATTTCTATCATTAATGATGTTTGCTGTCTTCACTTTTGAAGAATCTGTAAACAATTACTCAGATTGGGTGACTTTCATGGAAAATGTAGGTCAATATGAGAAACAGCAGAAACTTGAAGGTCTTGGTGCTGAGCAGAAGTTGAAAAAAACAGTTCTTCATCCAAATTTGTATTTTGATGCTGAAGATGTCCATGCACTGAGGCAGAAAGCTCACACAAGCCACTCACATCTATTTAGAGCTATTAGAAGTGCAGTGATAGTTATGCTATCCAACCCATTATACTACCTACCTCCACCCAAGCATGTTGATTTTGCTGCAAAGTGGAATGAGGTTTATGGTAACAATCTGCCACCACTAGCATTTTATTGTTTGCTGTGCCCTGAAGATAAAGCTGCATTTGATTTTGCCCTAGAATATATGGACAGAATGGCTGGTTACAAAAACTGGTTAGTGGAGAGTGCACCTGGTGATGAAGTGCCACTGGGACACTCCCTAACTGGATTTGCCACTGCTTATGACTTCTTGTATAATTCACTGGAAAATGTGAGAAGACAAAAATACCTGGAGAAGATACGGTCTGCAAGTGAGGAAATGTATGAGTACTCAAAGGTTCGTTCCTGGGGAAAGCAGCTTCTCCATAATCATCAGGCAACCAATATGCTTGCTTTGCTCACTGGAGCTTTAGTTACAGGGGTGGATGACGGATCTCAGGCAAATGTTTGGAAACACACTGTTGTTGATGTGATGGAGAAAACAATGTTTCTGCTTAATCATATTGTAGATGGGTCTCTGGATGAGGGAGTAGCTTATGGGAGTTACACAGCTAAGTCCATAACCCAGTACGTTTTCCTGGCCCAGCGTCATTTTGGTATTAACAACTTGGAAAATAATTGGCTCAAAATGCACTTTTGGTTTTACTATTCCACGCTATTACCAGGCTTTCAAAGGACTGTGGGCATAGCAGATTCTAATTACAACTGGTTTTATGGTCCTGAGAGCCAACTGGTTTTCTTGGATAAGTTTATCATGAAGAATGGAGCTGGCAACTGGTTGGCACAGCAAATTAGAAAACACAGACCCAAAGATGGACCAATGGTGCCATCCACTGCACAGAGGTGGAGCACATTGCACACCGAGTTTATATGGTATGCTGCTGAAATCACTCCTCAACCACCTCCTGACTATGGCACTGCTAAATTGCATGTGTTTCCTAATTGGGGAGTTGTTACCTATGGGGCTGGATTGCCAAGCAGCCAGACAAACACCTTTGTGTCCTTCAAGTCTGGAAAACTCGGTGGACGTGCTGTCTACGATATTGTCCACTTTCAACCATATGCCTGGATTGATGGGTGGAGGAGTTTCAATCCAGGACATGAACATCCTGATCAGAACTCTTTTACTTTTGCTCCCAATGGACAGGTGTTTGTATCTGAGGCTCTCTATGGACCTAAACTCAGCCACCTGAACAATGTCTTGGTGTTTGCCCCATCTCCTACTAGCCAGTGCAACCAGCCTTGGGAGGGACAGCTTGGTGAATGTGCCCAGTGGCTGAAGTGGATTGGTCATGAGGTTGGAGACTCAACTGGAGAAATTATAACAGCCTCCCAGTCTGGGGACATGATGTTTGTGAGTGGTGAGGCGGTCTCTGCTTACACATCAGCAATGAAATTGAAAAGCGTATATCGCATTTTGCTGCTCTTAAATTCTCAGACATTGTTAGTTGTAGACCATATCGAGAAGGAGGAAGACTCTCCTGTTAATTCTGTCAGTGCCTTTTTTCATAATCTTGACATTGATTTTAAATACATACCCTATAAATTTAAGAACAAATACAACGGAGCTATGATGGATGTGTGGGATGCCCACTACAAGATGTTTTGGTTTGATCATCATGGGAGTAGTCCTGTTGCTAGGATACAAGAGGCAGAACAAGCTGCTGAATTCAAAAAGCGATGGACTCAGTTTGTAAATGTTACCTTTCCAATGAAAAGCACGCTTGCAAGGATTGTTTACCTTTTCTATGGCCCATATGTCAATGTTTCTAACTGCAGGCTCATTGATAATGCAAAGTCTGGATTTCAGATTTCACTCAGTGTCAACAACACTGAAAATACGGTCTTTGTTGTGACTGAACATCAGAATTTAAAGACCAGGTTTGATTACTTGGGATTTGGTGGTTTTGCCAAAGTAGTTCATGAAAACAAAGTAACCAAGTTTGGTCTAGGTACTGAATCTGTGGAAAAACGAATTAAAAATAATAGGGTGGTTTTCCCATTTGGATTCAAAGTGAACATAATTGCAGGGTTAATCTTGGCTGTTAGTTTGGTCATACTGGCTTTTCAGTGGCAGTTTTACATATCCTTCAGTAAAATGTTGCGTTGGATCCTTATACTAGTTATCACGTTGTGGCTTATTGAATTGGTGGATGTGTGGAGCATGTGTACCCAGCCCATCTGTGCGAAATGGAGCAGTGACTTGACAAGGCTAGAACATGATAAAGGCAATAAAGCCAAACAATTAGAAGGGAACCCCGTTGTTTTGCCAGATGTTATAATTACTTCGCTTCCTGCCTCTGGTGCAGAAATTTTAAAACAGGTGTTTTTCAATAGCAGTGATTTCTTATATATGAGGATACCTACAGCCTATCTAGAAATTCCTGAGAGTGAATTTGAAATTGATTCCTTTGTAGATCCATGTGAATGGAAGGCTTCTGATGTCCACAATGGTCATTTTCGTCTTCTCAAAGGGTGGCTCCAGTCTTTAGTCCGAGACACAAAATTACATTTACAAAACATTCATTTATATGAAGCCAGCAGAAGTAAAATTACTCAGCATTCTGCCATAAGCAAGGACAAAAAGAAGAAATCAAAAAAGAGAGAATCTCTATCAGAGCAGAGAATCAGGGCAAGAGCAAGTCAAGATAAAGATGCTGAATATATTAGGGAATTGAGAAGACACCTTGTCTCTTATCCTAGTGCACGACCTGTGCTTAGTTTAAGTAGTGGGAGCTGGACATTAAAGCTTCCCTTCTTTCAGGAAATCCTAGGACCATCAATGAGAGCATTATATGTAGTAAGAGACCCACGGGCATGGGTTTATTCCATGTTGTACAAAAATAAGCCGAGTCTTTACTCCTTGAAAAAAGTTCCACAACACTTGGCTGCAATGTTCAAATGGGAAAATCATAAAGGAAAATGTAGTCTAAGTGAAGGCTATGCCTTTGAATATGAATCATTAAGAAAAGAACTTTCAAAATCTAATTCAAATGCTGTTTCTGTGTTGTCCTATTTATGGCTTGCAAACACAGCAGCAGCACTGAGAATAAATGGCGATTTGCTGCCAACAAATTATCAGATGGTCAAGTTTGAAGATATTGTGAGCTTTCCTCAGAAGATGGCTGAAACAATTTTTGCCTTTCTTGGTATGCCTCTTTCTCCTGCTAGCTTAAACCAAATATTATTTGCCACCTCCACCAGTCTTTTCTATCTTCCTTATGAGGGGGAAATTTCACCAAGTAGCATTCACGCCTGGAAACAAAACATGCCCAAGGAAGAAATTAGACTGATTGAAGATATTTGTTTTTCTTTAATGGACCACTTAGGTTACCCAAAGTTTGTAGAATAAATGCTGCCGGTCAGCAGAAATTTGCACTAATCATCTCTGACTCCCAGTTTGTGGATAAATATTAGAGAAGTTTGTTTATTCTTGTAAAACGTGTACAGTCTGCTACTTTCAGAGAAATTATTTTAAGAAAAAGATAGTTGTTCTTGCAGGTGTTTTTTTGTTGTTTCTTTTTTTTTCTTTTTTAGTAATAAATAAAAACAACTTGTAACTACTTTTGCTGCCTTTGAAAAAAACAAATAAAAAAACTGTGTGAACCTTTATGGAACTACCAGCTGAGGGCTCTATAGCTCAGGGGATTAGTAATAGAATATGGAGCTTTTCACCTCCTGCTCACCAGTTTGACCACAGCCCAGGTGCTTAGTTCCCAAAAGTAGTTACTACCTGATGATTGTATGAAGGTTTATATGAAATTAAACTGGTGGTGTTGGCCTAGTTCCCAGTGCTGATAATTAACTCCCTTAGACAGGTTTTCTGAGACATTCTGTCTCACTGGTCAGTGTGGTGGTGCAAAGTAAACACAAGCTGAGGTTTAAGGCTGTTCAGCATCCCTTCAGTAGGTGAAAACAACCACAGTATTTGAGTGAATCTAGTTCCTTATTTACATCCTCAACAGGCCCAGGACTGAAATGGATATATTGAATATCACTGTATGATATGGTTCCTCCAGTTCAGAGACATGGCACTTACATTGGGTTTGTCCTTCGACTTCATTCTTCGTGTCTGACAACATCATCTTTTGTGAGCTTGAAGTAAACTATCTGAAGAAAAATAAATGAGATAAAATTTAAGAAACCAAGATATCCCAAACTAAGAGTTAAATATGGAGAGGATTTATTTATTTATTTATTTATTTTTGTAGCTTTGACCTGCCTCACTCAACCTGTATTAATTTTGAAGGTTGTTAACATCTTGACTCCTCATTCTGATTTATCATGCACCTCTTATCTAAGAGGTTCTGGAAGAATCATTTCTTTTTGAGTGAGACTTTTCCATCTTTCTTTGTAAAACATTTCTCTGCTGATTCTTGTGTATAAGTTCACCAAGGCCAGTGCAAATATTTGATGTCAATGTCAGTGGTCTGTTGTTGATGTCTGCATAAAATGAAAATCTAAGGTTTAGAAGATCTTAAGTTAATCTCCAGGTCTGTGTTCCTGAGGGAGGTTTTGTTTTTCTGTATTGTGTATTTCTGAAGGACAACCATTGCTTACCTCAGATCTCCTCTCAGAGAGTGGAGAAATCTGAAACTTGCTCAACTCTCAGTTACTTTACCTTTGAGTAATTCCCCACAGTAAAGTATCTCCAAACTTGTCGTTTTTATCTGCTATCATGTTTTTTATCATGACTAGCGTTTCTCTAACATGATGCTGTAATATGATATTGATTTGGAAACAGATAAGTTTGATAGGATAGATATGTCTTTGTCACAGCTTGTTTTCATTTTGAATCACAGCTTTAGTTTTGCACATTTCCATTAAGAAAAAAGGTTTCCTAATTTAACTTGCTGAGTATTCTTTGGAAATGCACTGCATACTGTAAATGTCTGCAGATGTGTAAATCTGATCACAAAGCGGCATCTGTTTCCTTTACCATCTGTTTTTTATTACAAATGGAATTGTCTTGAAATATACTTCCTTTGGTTTGTGGGAGCTGGTGTTGGAGTTTGGGGTTATTATATTGAAATATATGTGTAATTTTTATTTATTTGGGTAATAAGCATTATACAATATCAAAAGTGTAGTGAGTCTCTTCATACAGATTATAGGTACCATTCCTGATTTCAAATATAAAAGAGTTCTTGCTTTTCCTTCCAGTCTTACTACTTGTCCCTGTCTTAATTCCTCTGTCTTGTCCTTCTCATATACACATTTCATATCCTTTGGAGTACATTGTGATGTCTCATCATGACCTAAATAACAGTAGCTGTTTCTCTACCAATCATTTGTACATCAAAATGGACCTCTAGCATGATAAACCCATTGATATTTTACAGTCTCACTTACCAAAACTTAACTGCTGTTTACTAGCAGCAGCAATTTTTTTCCTCCTTCTATCCTAAGTCTAACCCCTGGTTGGGTGGAATGTCATATTAAAGGAAATATTAAATGGGTTAATAAACACTGACATGGTAATGAAAGTTCAGTTTGCAACTATCATCCTTTCAAATTAGTTTCTCTCTGAAGCCATTTTTATCATATGTAAAGAAAAAAAAATATAATCATGTCTGTACAATTTTCTGTACTTGACAGAATGTGTTTCAACATTTGCCTTCTATTTCCAGGATTTATACTCTAGAATCAGAACAAATAAAAAGGCTTTTTCTCTGTCAGATGTTTTAGGGCAACTGAAGGTAAGAATTAAGACTGACTATATATTTGTGGAAGCAGACATCTTTAAATCCCTTCCTGAAAGTGCTGTATGGAATGCTGTGATAGCCTATAAACCAACTTTTTATTTGTTTTTGTGGAGTTAAGGTGTACAGGGTGATCTGTCAAGAGGGTTATCCATGCTTCTTTTGGAATATGGTTATCTCATACATTTATGTTCAGAATACATGCTGTTGCTGTCATTTCTTATATGCAAGATTTAGGAGCTATTTCTTTTCTGTACTGTACTCTCCAGGGTCTAAGAATGCATAATCTATTATTCAGAATTGGATGCACTGTGTGTTCCTAGTACAAATTTAATAAGATAAAAAAGATCTCTTTTCTTTATTTTTGGATCTTGTAAGGGCAAACACGTTAACATCATTACAGTAAAATATGTAGAGGGAAAGGCAGTGTCTTTGAAAATAACAGGGTAGGAATACTTAAGATATGACAACACTATTTTTTCATGAAGTAATTGCTTTGTTTGGATTTAGATAATGAATTACTTGACCACTTGATTGAAGTTAGTACCAGACAGGAGTTATCCCAGCCATGGAGTTGATTGAGTTTGTCTTTAAACTGTGGTCTTGTACTTGCATGAACAGCAACCCAAGAGACAGTGCATGTTATTGCCCATATAAATATGAGACTTTGTAGAATAACTTCCAGCGACACCATTCATTTTATTCACGAATAAATTTCACAGCTATGATGTGGAAAAGCAGCAATACTATGGAGGTCTGGTAGTAAATAAATAAATAAACAAACAAACTTGCCTTTCTCTATTAAAGGCTAGATTACAATTTTATATCTGCTGATCTTGAGTCAGATTGGTCATTACACTTTATTTTTTTCATGTGCAAATGTTCCCATTGAGACTATTGTCACTCTGTGTATGAAGAACATGTGTGTAATTTTATATGTAATTATTTTGTGGTTGTACAGTTACCATAGAAATTCTTTTCAGTCACTTGCATCCAGAGGAAGAATGGACACAGAATTTAACCTTATCTTTCTCCATACAGTAATGTTTCAGAATGTCAGTAACATTTGAGAATGTTAGAGATTGTTGGTTCTTTTTGAAAAGCATGTATATTTAGGTATGTTGATTGACGAGTGTTCTAGCGCTTTCAATTATACTTCAGCAAGATGCTCATGAAAACTAGTCTCATATTTTATCTTATCTTTATCTTTGCTTCCTCTTTCTCCCTGTGTTAAGTGTTAATAATAGTTTGTACTACATTGAATGTTGTACTATATTTGAACTCTCCTATTATGAGAGAGCAAAGATTTTGACACATTTTAGAAAAGAAATTTTTATTTAAACACCTATCTCAGAATCATATTTGGAAGCCTAAGGAAAATAAACACCAAGGAATACATCTCAGCTATTTACTTACTTTGTAACTAAGTGACATTGGCTCTGGGACCTACATGTATGCATATGGGTCTCGGCATTCAGAGTTCTGTCAGATGGCATGAATCTATAGTCTCTGAGCACATTTACATGCTTTTATTTCCCCAGTAAGACTTTTTTCCATGAGCAACATCAGTGATGATGAGCCACAGTATCATGGTCAAATGGGTTCCCTTCTCCCTCTTAGCATGCAATTGACATGCAACTCTAATCGGAATTTATGTTTGAACAGTGAATTTGCAGGATCCAGGAGTGAATTTCTGGACAAGATCTTCAGTTATATGTAAAATATATGTTACAACTCATTCAACGCCGAACTACTATTCTGATAGTGTTAAAATGCAAAGCAAACAACAACAACAACAAAATGCACTTCGAGTTTTATAAAGTTATCAATAACTATTTTGTAAAGCTCCAGTCATGGATTAGATTTATTTATTTATTTATTTAACCATTAAAATGGTTTCACTTGCTCTTCAGACTTCATGATGTGACTGCTAGGGGATTCTTGACTCTGCCTGACAGTCAGTTATTTCCATTATTAGTCTTGGCTAGTTTGAGGAACATGATCATGCAAAATTTGGAATATAATAGTGCATTTACTCAAAAAATTTGAAGTGCACAGTTCATGATTAAGGATAATAATATGGCCCATATGTTGGGGTCCATATGTTGGTATATATAGTATCTGTGGTATTTATTTTAGGAGAGTTAGAAGTAAAAATAATTTATCTTTTTTATTATTATTATTATTTTTAATAACACAAAATCATTTTCTTCAAGAGAATAAATACTGGATTTTAACTTCTACAATGGGGATATCATATAATTCCTTTCTTTATCTGGCCTCCATTTTAGTTTTGGTTCAGACTAAAACTTTTGTTCTATGTCTTATTATGAATGGGCTGTTTTCTCAGTTAAGGTTCTGTCTGGAGACTTCAGAGTTATGATTCTGTCTGGAGATTCCATTTCATTGAATTTCTGTGAGGAATATCATGTACTACAAGATGAAATCCCTAAATTGTGAGCTGTTTGGATTTGGGTCAAAAATAGAATGATGCCTTGCTGACCTCAAAGAATGTTTTGCCATTGATTTCAACAGGGCGTAAAATACTAACCCAAATATTTCTTTCTTGGAAGGAGCTATGCAAAATTTGTGAACTAAATAGAAGTCTCTAGATCATTCTTTATTAATCAGAGACAACATTAGCTGGTTTCTAAAATGTAAAAACTGATTTGTCTTTGGATTTTTTCTCTCTTATCTAAACAAATGTTACCTTCTAGAGAATTGCTGTCTACCTAGCCTGAATATTTCTAGACAGCAGAAATTACAGGAAATAAATTCCTCAAATGATCAATCAATATTACTGTTCTTAATATTAGAAGAGAGAATGCATTTCAATAACATGAAAAATATAAATTGTGCAGTAACCATAATCAAAGCTATCTGTAGACCAGTAAATTTATAATGTTTAAAATTTATAAATGTATGTATAGGAACAAAAATATTCAAAATAACATATGAAGTACACTTTCAAATGTCAGGACTTTGATTTTATTTAGTGAGGAGAAATTTGCTGATACATAATCTGCACCATTTTCATAAAGTACATGAATGGGTAATCTTGTGCTGTCTCCGAAAATAATAATAATGGGAAAACACATGTTACTGAGATGATAGTGTTTTAAATTAAACAATACATCTCTTAGAGCTGACAATATGCTGGGATTTATATGTGATGTAAGAAAAAAAATCTGGTTTCATTCACACTTGTCTAAATATATAATAATTTCTGCAAGATTCGTCATTTCTGCTGATACAACCTCAACATTTAATTTATTGTTTTTACTGAGGTGTATTACAGTGTTTAAGAACATGACCTAAAGTAATCTAATCTCACATTAGGTAATTTAAGTGTTGTAATTAAATGAGGATCCTTGTCACTCTAGAATCAATGGAAAGCAAGTGTCACCTTCAGAAGGAAATCAGACATAACTCTTTGTAAATCCTCAAAAGCTGAGGGCAATTAAACTCTATTTTCGATGCCAGATGAAAGGTGTCAAATGAAATGGTGTTAATGGGATTAATTTGGCTTTAAATGCGTATGGTCTTACTTCTAAGTAAATTTCTATGTCTAAGCATTTTTAGTGCATAGAAAATTTTATGTCCATAGAAAATTTTATGAAACATTCCACATAAAATAAAGCTCTTGTTAGAAAACTAACACTTCTGTGTTTTTGTGTTATCTTTTTTTTTTTTTTTTTTTTTCCTCCCTTTTTATCACTTAGGATATCACAAAACTTTGTGATGTAGTCACAGAATCAGAGAATGGTTGAGGTTAAAAGGGATATCTGGAGGTCGCCTACTCCAACCCACCTGCTAAAGCAGGGCCACCTAAAGCCGGTTACCCAGATCTCCAAGGAAGGAGACTCCACACCCTCTCTGGGCAACTTGTGTCAATGCTTGGTCACCTGCACAATAAAAAAGTGTTTCCTGATGTTCACAGGGAACCTCCTGCCTTTTGGGTTGTGTCAATTACCTCTTGTCCTTTCACTGGCTGCCATTATGAAGAGCCTGCTGCTGTCTCCCTTAGACACTCCCTTCAGGTATTTATATGACTTGATAATACTCCCCCTCCTGAGCCTTGTCTTCTCCAGGCTAAACAGTCCCAACTCTCAGCCTTTCCTTATAGGAGAGATGATCCAGTCCCTTAATCATCTTGATCATCTTAATCATCAATGTCCCCTGCACTATACTCTTTCTTGTTTTCTAGTATGTTCACGTCTCTTGTACTGAGGAACCCAGAACTGGATACAGTAGTCCACATGTGGCCTAACCAGTGCTGAGCAGAGGGGAAGGATCATCTCCATTAACCTGCTGGCAACACTAATCCAGCCAAGACTACCATTAGTCTTTGCCATAAGGGTATATTGATGGCTTATGTTTAACTTGGGGTACCACCCAGATGGAAAGCAGCTTTGCAGAAAAGGACCAGGGGATCCTTGTGAACACCAACAGGTACTGGTGCCTGGGATGGTTTCTCCCCAGGTGCAGGACTTTGCACTTCTCCTTGCTGAACTTCATGGGGATCCTATCATTCCATTCCTCCTGATGAGGTCTGTCTGGGTGGCAACACAGCCTTCTGTTGTGGCAGCCACTCATCGCAGTTTTGTACTGTCAGCACACTTGCTGAGAGCAAGCAATGCCCCATCATCTAGGTCATTTATGAAGATGCTGAATAGGACTGGACCCAATATTGACCCTGGTGTACACCACTGTTACCACATGTACTGCCAATGTATACATTCAATTTAAATACATATATATGTAGAGAAAGAGAATAATAGAATCATAGAACAGTTTAGTTTGTAGGAATCTTTAAAGTACATCTATTTTGAACCCCCCTTGCCATGGGTAGGGATGCCTTCCACTTGATCAGGTTTTCAAGGTCCCATTCACCTTGACCTTGAACACTTCCAGGGACAGGACATCCACAATCTCTCTGGGCAACTTGTTTCAGTATCTAACCACACTCATAGTGAAGAATTTCTTCCTAATATCTCATCTGAATCTATCCTCTTTCAGTTTGAAACCATTACCCATTTTCCTATCACTACACACCCTAGTGACATGTCTCTCCCCATCTTTCTGGTAGTGAAAGGCTTCTACAAGCCTTCTACTCCCTCTGGAGTCTTCTTTTCCCGAGGCTAAACATCTACAACTCTCTCAGTTTTTCTTCATACGACATGTGCTCCAGCCCTGTGATCATCTTTGTGGCTTTCCTTTGGACCTTCTCTAACAGGCCCATTTCTCTCTTGTTCTGGGGGCCCCAGAGCAGGATTCAGTAATCCAGGGTGTTAGGAGAGCAGAGTAGAGGGAGAGAATCACCTCACTGTGATCTGCTGGCCATGGTTCTTTTAATACAGACCAGGATGCAATTATCTTTCTGGGCTGCAAGTGTATGCTGCTGGACAATGTCAAGTTTTTCATCCACATGTACCCCCAAATTGCCATTCTATAATTCTGTGATTCTATGATTAAATATATTCTATTAAATATCTTATATCTCTTCTATCTAAATATCTCTTCTGACTATCCACAAGTCCTTTTCACAGCTGAAATTTCCCCTTCCTGAGGTTTGGGATCCTGAACTATACTTCTTGCCCAACCTATATGCTGCAAGCAACATGTATGGCTGGTTTTGTTTGTTTTGTTTAGGGAAGCTGCTGTTACTAATGTAACAGGATGTTACGTTATTTATTGATGGCAGAAACTAATTTTGTCTGTCTTTGCATGAATACTAAGTATGACACAGTGTTAAGTTAAGGTTACAGAAAATGTATATTCTTAGGAAAAAAAATAAATAAAGGAGGGGGTGATTCCCCCTTCAGTTTTCTAAACTGGACAGCTGATGCAAGCCATGCACCACAAATCACTGCAAACCAACTGGTGCAATTTTGAAGTATCTTAGACTATATACTCTCTATATAATGTATATGCAAACTGTGTATTTAGAATGATGTGTCTTCTAATTCCTGAACTCTATCCAGGATTTGTTTCAGAAAGTGGTAGTTGGCCTACAGACTGTTTTTACAATTTAAGATTATAGGTAAGTAAGCTCCAACACCCATGAGTGTTCTCATGTGTTTAATTAAATCTAAAAAATAACGATAATAAATAAATAAATAAAGGACATAATCAAGTTAATTAGAATAACTGAGATTAAAGATATCACTGGATTTTATTAAATGTGGTACAGGTGCAGATGGTATCTACTAGATCAAGACACAGTTCATCATCCTTACTACTGCAGAGGTCAAGAATGCACTGCAGATGCCTCTGAGTGGCACATGGTTTCCTGCAACACAGTTTTGTAGGTTTAATTAACTGATTTTTTTTGTTCATATATTATAGAAGAAGGTGCTTGGGATATATCTTAAACATAGGAACAAGAATAAGCCCTGATTCTATCTCTCCTGTGAATATGAGCACATGGTAAAGCAAAGGTTTGTATATTTTGAAGTCTTGATACAGTTATATTTAGATGTGAAGTTGGTTTAATGTGCTTTTTTTTTTTTTTGGCTGCTGATTTTTATTTTTTTTTTTAATTTGGTGGGTGGAATGTTCTTAACCTTTGTAGCTGATTTTAGTTCTTGTTACTGTACTTTCACAAATATTTTATTTGTTTATTTTTACCTTCTAAATCTTGAATCCAGTTTTGGCTTTTTGGAGGAGCTGCTTGGAAAGTGCCTATTACATTTTGAGGTGTATTGAGTATTATACATTGAGGTGTGATACAAGCAAATATTTCTGTCTGTTGCAAATTCTTTGACAATATTTGTCTTCATCTATTTTCTAAAAGGTCACTCAAAGGGAATAAATCCAACATACAGAGGAAACTTTGAGGAAACTAATACTATCATAAAAGGCAGACTGTCAGAGATAATAAATGTGCACTTAATTTTGTGAAAACCATTAATATTTTCCCTCTTAATTTATTTTCCAAGAGAGAAATAGGTTATATTTTATTTTTTTCCCTTTCCTTTTTCCCTTTCCCTTTCCCTTTCCCTTTCCCTTTCCCTTTCCCTTTCCCTTTCCCTTTCCCTTTCCCTTTCCCTTTCCCTTTCCCTTTCCCTTTCCCTTTCCCTTTCCATTTTCCTTTCCTTTTCCCTTTCCCTTTTTCTTTATCTTGTAGTTCCATCCTATAGATTGCTTGGAAATATATTTTGTCATCATTGTGTTTTTGTTTGTTTGTTTGTTTTCTAAATTTTGGTTTGAAATGTTCATTTGGTTTTATATTTTCTTGAAGGTTCTGTTGTGTTTCAGGATGTTCCAGTGTGTTCTTTCCATAACTTACATCCTTTGTTATTCACTGATCAGCTGAACATTGTTTCATATCACCATAGCAGTACTGAAGGAAAATTAACATAAAAGGAACTTTTGTTGGGGTGTATTTATATTTATATTTATATTTTTATTTTTATTATTTCTCCCTAAAACAATGATCTTATTTTGTATTCCCAACCTGTGTTAATTTGTAACTGAATAGTTATTACCCAGTGTATCTTTGTAATAACATTATTGGCACAAAAGTATGCTTTCCAATGAGATTGTGCAGTTTTATCTGCTGGGAATGGATTAAATATTGATGGTTTCTCAACTGCTAGCATCCTTTGATGATGCATTTGAAAGAAAGCATTCTGTAATAAAGAATTGTTTCATGTTAATCATAGAATCATTAAGGTTGGAAAAGACCTTCAGGATCATCTGGTCCAACTGGTATCCTACTACCAATGTCACTCACTAAACCGTGTCCCTTAGCACCAGGTCCAACCTTTCCTTGAACACCCCCAGTGACCGTGACTCCACCACCTCCCTGGACAACCCATTCTAATGCCTGACTACTCTTTCTGAGAAGAAATGTCTCCTAATTTCCAACCCAAACTTCCCCTGGCTCAACTTGAGGCTATTGCCCCTAATCCTCTCACTAGTCATCTGCACGAAGAGGCTGAACTTCATCTCCCACACTTTCAGGCAGTTGTAGAGATCAGTAATGTCTTCCCTGAGCCTCCTCTTCTCCAGACTAAGCAACCCCAGTGCCCTCAGCCACTCCTCATAGGACTTGTGTTCCAGGCCCTTCACGAGGCTGGGCTGCTGTTGGCCTTCTTCTCCACCTGGGCACACTGCTGGCTCATGTTCAGGTGAGCATCAATCAGCCAGATCCTTTTCCTCTGCACAGCTTTTCAGCCACACTGCTTCCAAGCCTGTAGCACTGCATGGGGTTGTTGTGACCAAAGTGCAGGACCTGGCACTTAGCCATGTTGAACCTTTTGGCCTCTGCCCATTGAACCATCCAGTCCAGGTCCCTCTGTAGGCCCTTCCTACCCTCCAGCAAATAAACACTTTACCCCAACTTGGTGTCATCTGCACACTTACTGAAGTTGCACTCAATTCCCTCATCCAAGTAATCAGTAAAGATATTGAAGAGCACTGACCTTTGGGGAACACCACTGGTGACTGGTAGCCAACTGGATTTCACTCCATTCACCACCACTCTCTGGGGCCAGCTGTCCAGCCAGTTTTTTAACCCAGAAAAGAGTGTACCTATCCAAGCCATGGGTTGCCAGCTTCTCCAGGAGAATGCTGTGGGAGACTGTGTCAACAACCATGATGATGTGTAGGTAGACTACATCAACAGCCTTCACCTCATCCACCAGAGGGGTC